CCCCCGCGGCGCACCCGACCACCTCGCCCCCGACTGCGACCCCAACACGGGGACCCTCAACCCGCACCCAGTGGACCCCTTCCTTCCTCTCTCAGCGATCAACGCGCGCGCGCAGCAGATCGCCGCCTACATGGAGCGCGTGCGACCGACCCTCGGACCCACCCGGCCGACCTCAACCGTCCGGCTCCCGCACGCGGCGTCGGATGCCAACGGGTATCCCACCAAACGCGTGCCTATCGAGCAGGGGGATGAGGAGGAGGTCAGCAGCAGGGAGATGCTTGAGGCTTTGGTGCAGAGGTTGGCGGATTACAAGGCGAGGTTTGGCGGGGTTTGAGTGCTTTTGTAAGTTTCTCCCGGCGGGACAAGGGCGGCAACGCCGGGAAAGGTGTTCTGAACTCGAAGTGGGGGTTTCGAAAGTCGAAAGGCAGACATTCATCCGAAACCCACTCTTCCTCCCTTCCCCAGACTCGACCACTGGTCCGAAGCAAAAAATTTGGGGGTTGCGGGTTGCCCTGGTTCTCTCTTGAGACCCCCGCGACCTCCCAAACCGGGGGGTCGGTGAGCTCGTCCGTTGCAGGTATGTGTTCGCTCTCCGAGCTCCCAACCCCCGAATGCCGATGTTCAGCCTATTCCCGACTCCCTCAAGTACACTGAATGGAACCCAACGGTTCTCCCTAACTTCCTCATCACCACCCCTACCATCTTGTAGCAGAAAGTTTGCATTGGTTCAAATCTTCGTCTTCACCTGGCCCCCGGAGAGCAGGAACGAAAAATATTTTGCGAGAATATAACACATTTGCACAAGTTTCGCTTTCTTTTTTTTATAAAAAAAATTGGGGGCTCACTGGGATTGTAGAGATCAGGAGATCAGGGTCGCGACCATGGGTATCGATGACCGGGGTACTGGAGGGTGGGTTGAACCTGTTGGTGTGCCACGATGCTTGGGCAAAAGGAGCGAAAGAAGTGATGTCATGATGCCTTGACCTGAACGCTTTGTTTGTTTCTCATCAGGCAACACAACTCTCCGTCTCACCACATCGTTTCCTTCTCATTCTTATTCATTCGTGTCCGTGACAGTTTCTCCTCGGTGCTCGTCGTTTCGATATTGTTATTTTACCCAACACCCCCCGTCCGATTTGCAGCTAGTATCTTGGATTTGGTAATCTTCGAACGAGGATGGGAAATGGGGGCCCGTGACGCGTTGGAGTTGGCCTCCGGCGATTGTCCATCTCCGTAAGTTAATTGCAGCTGGTTACAATCTGCAGCGGCCAAATCCAAGGTTTTCGCGGCTTGCTCATCCTAATCGTCCCCCAAGCCTCAAGACCTAAGAGATTACGGAGCTTTGTTGAAAAAGAAGTGGAGGAGAGCGCAACCCGTTGCACTCCCAATAAGACACATATGGGCCATGGGTGAACCAGAGTGGAATTGTTATTAAAGGACCAAAACTTGGGGAAATCAAGGGGCAGCGAGCTTCGCGTCAACCTCGGCGAGGTTGACGGTGCGGAGGTAGGGGCGGATGGTCTTGAATCCGGGGAAGATCTAGGGGAGAGACGGGAGAGATGAAACAGGGAAATAGAGATAATAGAGTTAATCTAAGTCTTAAATAATCGAAAAGACATCCCATACCGCCCACCAATCGCCCGTCTTCTTAATTTTCATCATCTACATGCATACCTTCTCCGCCTCCTCATTCTTGACCGACCCCAAGATAATGACATCGTCCCCCGTCTTCCACCCTACAGGGGTGGCGACACGGCGCTTATCCGTCAGCTGCAGAGAGTCGACGGCGCGGAGGACCTCGTCAAAGTTACGGCCGGTGGACGCGGGGTAGGTAAGGATGAGGCGAATGACGTTCTTCGGGTCGACGACGAAGACGGAGCGGACGGTCAGGGGGAGGCCGGAGGGGGCCTTGTTCGTCTCGTCCTGGATGTCGAGCATGTCGTACTCTGTCGCGATAGCTCGGGAGGCATCTGCGATGATGGGGAACTTCACGTCCGTGTTCTGTTAACAGGGAGGTGGGGGGGCGGTTATGAGTAGATGCGAGAGGGGAGCGGATGAACGAGGCGGCATGCGAACGTCTGCGAACCTGGGTGTCATTGATATCGGCAATCCACTTCTCGTGCTGATCGAGAGTGTTGCAAGAGAGGCCAATGACTTTGACACCGCGCGCCTCCCACTCCTTTGCGAGGCGGGCCACACCGCCGAGCTCGGTTGTGCACACGGGGGCTGTAATCAGCGAAAAAAAAGATATAAGTCATAAGGACGGGCGATGGTGGTCGCGGCTAACTACTGCGGAGTTAAGGACGAGTGGGGACGGGGGGCGAGCGCCAAAAGACCAGAAAGGAAAAAACGCACTGAAGTCGTCGGGGTGAGAAAAGAGAATCGCCCAGGAGTTCGCCTTCCAGTCGTGGAATTTGATGGGGCCCTGGGTTGTGTTTGCGTCAAAGTTGGGGGCGATGTTTCCAAGACGGAGCGGCATGATGAGGGAGGGTTGGAAGAGGTCTGGAGGCGGTTGGCGGGGAGTTGAGATCGCGAGAATGGTGGGGAATTGCGGCCCGAGTTGTCGTCCTGCAAATCTGGCTGCAATGACGCAATAATCATGGTGTAAACAAAACATGTATTATTAATACAATTCAATTAGAGGACATAAAGCTATAACGACACATTTATCACAGCATGGTTGGTTTAGTGGCATAATTACCGCCTGCCAATCTCAGTGCGCGGTAGACCCGGGTTCGATTCCCGGACCATGCATTTTGTTGCATTCACTACTTCGTAACGTGCTTGTTTTTACCAAGCAGCCGTTATTCGACATGTTGCATTTAGGTAAGTGTTGGTCGTTTCGTTCGCATTTCACTCCGAACCATTTTTTTCATATTTATTGGACCATCTAGAGGGGCGCATTGAGAGCGACCGTAGGTACGTGTTTGGAGCAGATTGATCAGAGGGGGGGGGGGAAGAGGTCTGGAGGCGGTTGGCGGGGAGTTGAGATCGCGAGAATGGTG